GCTTATTGAAAACTCAAGACAGCCATAACATTATGTTTCTTTACAAGTGTATGTAAACTTTTGACCACAACTGTATACACTGTAAATTAGGGGTGCAACAATACATGTACCCGTATCGAACCGTATCAAACAGTGCTGTATCGAACAATACAGATTTTAAAAATTTACTTTTTTAACATGCCTTCTAAAGATGCTCTGTGTTAAAGGCTCAGTGGATCTGTGTTCGATTACTCCATCAAGGCTGCATTTTTGAGTGCAGATCCACTGAGAAACTTGCTGTTTCAGCAACATTTAATTTAAAAACTGTACTTTTGAGGTTAAACAAATGTTCATAATTAATATAAATAAATTACAAGTTAAAAAGGGCCAAGGACATTTCTCTTTTTTGTATCAAAAAAATATCGAACCGAACCGTGAATTTCCTGTATATATCCACGGGAGTAATCTTCCATGGAGCAGCTCTGTTATCATCATTATTATTTTAGGAAAAGTCATTTCTACTTTCTCCTGTCTGTGAAGGCGCTTTGTTTTGATTTAAAACGTCGGATATTTTCCAAGATATAAATTCAGGATGGATAAGAGCTCGCACCGGGAACCTAGTGAACGGTGTTAATAAAACAGCATTGTCCATGTGACAATATACAGTATATATTTAAATGAATAAAAACTAAACAGCTCAACTCAGCTTCAGCTCATGTCTAATGTTACAACTAATAAGAGAAAATCTGAGTGTCTGCTGGTAAAAACTGAAGAARCACAGAAAACAGAAAGGTTTCTGACGCAGAGAGGACAGAAAGTGTGGGAGCTGAAGCGATGCTGTTTTCCTCTCACAGGCTGTTTGTGAGTGAAAGTTGGGAAAACATTTTTGCGTGGACGGGATCAGGAGGCGGAGGTTGCTGCGGACGACCTTATAACTCGGTGTTAGTGGGTTCCTGGACCCCGCTGGATTTCCTCCTCCGCAGACGCTTCAGCTGCGCGGTCGATCTGCTCGTTCCGACGGGACTCGGCAGAAAAAATAATGAATTGGGAAATCAAAGAGTTGAGTAAGGAGCCAGGAGCACGAGGAGGGAGCTGGCAGCGCTCGTTAAGTGCTGCAGTTTGAGCTTTTCGCTCCGTCCCCCTGAGCCTCGGCCTTCAAACCTTAAATCACGTCTCCATCACGTCTCTGCAGCTGCAGGCCTGCGGGCTGCACAGGCTGCGCTGCTAAAAACATCCACCCACAACTCAAACCTCCACACAGAGGAGCTGGTTAGCAGCTCAGACCTTCACCGTGTCCTCGGCTGAAAACCTTTGGATCAGTTTAACTCCAGGCAGAAGGAGAACGGAGCTTCAGGTCTGACTCATCTGAACTCACCTGGTGGCCGAGCTTCAGTCATCGACACCTGGAGATGTTTTAACACTAAAGTTTGAGAGATCACCACTTTTAATCTCACCTACAGAGACTTTAACACAACTGTTTATAAGGAAAAAATAAGCTATGAGAAGGATGCTAATGCTGCTATCACTGCTAACGCGACTGAAGATGGCGTTTAAAATTTAAATTCAAAATGWTCGGGCAGTTTGAAGGGCAGTTCAGACACCGGACGCAACTGCATGTTTGATGGGAAATGTTTGCTGAGTCAGCAGCATTGGCAGTGTTAGCAGCATTAGAAGAGTTAGCAGTGTTGATGTTAGCAGTGTTAGCTGAGTTAGGGATGTTAGCAGAGTGAGCAGTGTTAGCAGCATTAGTAGAGTTAGCAAAGTCAGCAGTGTTAGCAGCATTCGCAGAGTTAGCAGCATTGGCAGTGTTAGCATTAGTAGAATTAGCTATGTTAGCAACATTAGCAGCACTACCAATGTTAGCAGTGTTAGCAATGTTANCAGAGTTAGCAGCATTGGCAGTGTTAGCATTAGTAGAATTAGCTATGTTAGCAACATTAGCAGCACTACCAATGTTAGCAGTGTTAGCAATGTTATCAGTGTTAGCTGAGTTAGCAATGTTAGCAGAGTGAGCAACGTTAGCAGCATTAGTAGAGTTAGCAAAGTCAGCAGTGTTAGCAGCATTAGTAGAGTTAGCAAAGTCAGCAGCGTTAGCAGCAGTCACAGAGTTAGCAGCATTGGCAGTGTTAGCATTAGTAGAATTAGCTATGTTAGCAACATTAGCAGCACTACCAATGTTAGCAGTGTTAGCAGAGTTATCGGTGTTAGTAATGTTAGCAGCAATAGCAGCATTTGCTATTTTAACAGAGTTGGCAGCATTAGCAGCATTGATAGCATTAGCAATGTCAGCAACGTTAGCAGTGTTAGSTGAGTTAGCAATGTTAGCAGAGTGAGCAGTGTTAGCAGCGTTAGTATAGTTAGCATTGTCAGCATCAATGGTAGCAGTGTTAGCAGYATTAGTAAGTTTAATAGACTTAGRAGCATTAGCAGAGTTAGCAATGTTAGCAGTATTAGCAGTTGCTTTTGTCTCAGGATGATGACATCACAACAAAAGCTGCACACCAACAGCAAAGTCTGCATTTCATTCTGAGATAATTAAATGTAAATGGATCTGTAAATGTAAAAGCCTCTCACCTGAATTTCCCCGCGCAAGACAAGGCTGTTTCTATTCTATTCTACACTTCAACGTTTAAGATTTAACTTTTACATTTAGATTGACATTTTTAGGTTTAGTATTTAATATTTACATATATTATTTAACATTTGGTAAAAAAAATAGCAAAATGTAACAGCTAAATAAGTGAGCTCAATAATATATATGTGTATATATA